TTATTACGAAAAACTACTTAAACTATAACATAACAATGTCTTGAACAAATACGTTGTTGTTATACAAAATAAATGCTAACCAACAACATTAAAATAAACGTCACTCCAATTAATTATAATAACTGTATTATTTTATCTGTAAAAAGGTAATTAAAATGTATATTTAGATTATTTCTATTTTGAAAAACAATAGCTGTATATAAATAGAAAGGCACTACATCCTTTTTATTCAATAAAAAAGAAAGAGTAGTTGTCTTCATTCAAATGACTTTTTAATAGCATTTATTGTTTATCACATCATAAATAGACAATCAAAATAAACTATGTTTATTTGTTACCTACAACAAAAAATAAAATATTGTTAAAAATTATAATACTTACTAATATTATTATAATTTTATTTTATAAATTAAAAAATACCAATTTTTATTAAATTAATAAAAAAATAAGAAATTAGAATTACTTAATTTAAATATTAGTAATAAATAGTTTTTAATTTAATTCAATATTTTTAACTATTTTTATAATTATAATTCATATTATATTATTTATTATGTCATAATATTCATAATTTCATTTTCTCTTTTTTTTCAATAGTATTATTTCTTTATTCTTTATTCTATTATTAATTTTATTATTTATTATGTTGTGATTATTTTATTCATAGAAATTGATTCAATTTAATTAATTAATGTTTTATAATTTAATATCATTTTTGTTTGTAATAATTGAAATATCAACATCATTATTTATTGTTGATTAAAATTGATTATAATACTTCAAAATCTCTTTGTTTAATTCATTTGAATTATATTTATATTACTAAATTGAATCTATTGTAATATTTATTGGTATTATTGTTAATTTGAAATTATAAAGAATTTCAATTCAACAAAATTCATATATTTATTCATAAATTGTTAATTAACAATAATACTAATTATTAAAATGATAAAAATAATACACAACATATTGTTATTTACTTTAAACATTTAAAACATAAATACGATTTTAACTATATTAACAAATTTAATAAATTCTTTCAAATAACTGTGATGATTTAAATATAAAAGACAAATGAATATTGTAAAAAGAATAAATAATAAGAATATACAAAATGATAATCAACAATTCTAATTAGATTTTCAATATATTAAAAATAAATAACATCAATAATAAACTAATTAATATAAAATTTCATTCATTATAAGAATTTTATTTATTAAATTTTATGTATTTTCAATTCTCTCTAACATTCTTACAATTTCATTTATTGTTATTAATCTTTTGTTTAATTCTTGTTTCAATGAATTTTAAGTAATTTCTTTAATATCTTCTTGAACTTCTTTTATTATATTTGTTCGTTTACCTATTGTGATTGTATCTGCAATATCCCATGGATGTGGATATTCTGATTTAGGAAATGGATCTTGCCATGTAATGATTTGTAACATTGTTATTGAAAATGAATATATATCGGATTGCATTTTGTAATGTTCTCGATTTAATATTTCATGTGCCTTGTATTTTGGTGTTCCTACACCTTTTGTGAATGTCATATTTGTCATCATCATATTGATGTTTCTTGCACTTCCAAAATCCGTTAATTTACAATTAACTTCAATGTTATCATCAAGTGTTACAATATGGAAATTATCAGGTTTAATATCTCGATGTAATATTCAATTTGAATGAAGATATGATATTCATTTTGCTCCATCTATCATAAATTTGATTCTTATTTTCTTTGATATTTCTGTGATTTTTCTTTTATTCATTATATCTTGTATTGATCCATATTCTGCATATTCGGTTACAATACATATTTTATTAGGAATAAATACTGCTCCATAAAAATGAATAATATATTCATTTCGAAATTTATCTAACATTGCTACTTCTTTCTCAAATTCTTTCTTTTTATCTTCACTTTCTTCAACTTGTTTCATTTTCTTAATTGCTACTTTATTTCCTCTAAATTCTCCAACATAAACAATTCCAAATGATCCTTCTCCTATTTTCTTTTCTTCTTTTATTTCATCAGGATCAAGTCGTGTTGATATTTCTGTTCCTCCTTCAATAGAAATACTTTTGATTGTTTCTTCTTGTGCTTTATTAAGTGTTTTACTAATTATCATTATTTTATCTTTGATTTTAGTTGTACATTTGATTGTAATGAATACTTCAAATTCACATGCATATCCTCCTTCAATTGTAATGATATTTTGGTTTGTTCTAATTGAATATTTCTCATTTTCTTCTTTACTACTTATTTGTATCTTCATCTTCTCTTTTTTTATCATTTCCAATACACATCAATTCTCTTATTTCTTCATTCACTTTAATTTCTTCTCCTTCTTGAAGTTCAATTTCTTTCTTATTTGATAATATTCCATCTCCAAGTGATATGAATCTGATATTTGATTGTGTTATTTTGAATATTGTTGTTGTTTTCTCTCGTTCTTTCTTTTCTCTTCATTATGTAATTAACCATCATTATTATCATTACAATTGTTATAATAATGATAGTAATTATAATAATGACAATTAGCATTATCATCCACCATACTACTTCTTTATTACATTCATTTCCTTCTTCATTCGTTCCATACCAAAATGAACATTTTAACATTTGTTATTCCTTACTTCTTTACATTTATTAATATCTAAATAGTAAATACACTCTTTATTTTTTAATACATATTCATTTTCACAACTATTACACTCTATTTTAATTCAAAAGAGTCATGTCTGTTGCTATCATAGAAGTATAGTTGAAATGAAGTGTTTGTGAATTAAAACCATAACCAAATAAAACAAAATAACAGTAAGTCAGGATAAAAAGAATAGTCATAACAATTTGTCAATAAGAACAGTTATAAAAAATTTATTGGGTATAATAAAAACTATTTGAGAAAGAGACAATGCAGACAACTGGAGTTGAGGGAGAGGGGGTTCAATACAAAAATTTACAAAAGCCTGTTTTGTCTTGTTTTTATAAAAACAAACTTATTGCATTTAGATAAGAATTTCTTAAATTGTCTGTGCTGGAGGTTTTAGACTTGATTGAATTTTAAAAACATGATCAATGTAGCAAAAGTATAGTGTTGAGGATTGACGTTTGAGTTTATGTTGATTATTGAAACAAAACCATCAAAAACAATCAAAAGTTTTTGTTATAATCTTTTGATTATCATTAAGAAATTAAAGACTTTAGTTGGATTAATGATACTTAAGTGTTAATAAAATAATTGGTTTTTGGAATTAGTACTGAATTAATTGAAGTATAAATTATAGTATCAATAACATATTTCACAATTATTTAACCTTTTGGAAAATCTAACTTTTAATGACATAGTTTCAATAAGGATGAAATTCAAAGTTAGAATTGTTGAAAGTGTATGCGTCGTTTTTTTTTTCATCCTCCTTTGATTGGATCGATTGACAATTATTGATTAGATAACTTTTTGGTCAACAAACCTAGATTGTTTACTTGAAGATGAATGATGTTAGTTATTCAAAGGTATGAAAATATCAAAATTCTGTAAACAAAATAACAAAGTGTCTTTTCATCAAAAACAATAAAAAAATTATAATGAATGAAAAACCTAAAAAAAAGAAAGTCAATCTCAGTGCGAAACGTTTTTTTATGTAAAAAGAAAACTAAAAAACAATTAGTTTATTCATACTTATGGTTTGAATATGTTTAATTAAAAATAAATAAAATATTAACTCATAGCCATTAGAAGTTGTTTATTTAATGAATGTAGTGAAATACTTAGACAGTACAGAAACTCTTAAAGTTTTTGTTCAAGTAAACCATCATTGTCTTGAAGCTATTTCAAGAACAAAAATTAATCCATGTTATGGAATTAATTCATTAGCTGTTGCTATTTCCAATTCAAGATATAAAAACGCATTATTTGAATTAAAAGTATTTGACGGAATTGAAACATTTTATGTAGATTATAATTCATTAGAAAAGATGAGTGTTAAATCACTTGAAAATATTCCATTGATTAATGTTCATAAATTTGTTATGCAAAATGGGTCATCAGACTATGCTATATTTCGTAAATTATCAGATAAAATATGTTCTATTGGAATTGACACAGCATATACATTTAATCCTAATTTCTCTAATTTCATTAATTTAAGAGAAATAGTAATTAGAGTTGGACAAAATTATAACAATAATATTATTGAACAATTATTTGAACAATTACCTAAATTCAATTATCTTCATAAAGTTGTTATCAGATGTGATTCCAACAGACTACACTATTTAAGAGAATTAAGTAAAAAATTACAAATAAAAACAAAAGTTATATTTATTATTGATTGGTTACATAAAGAAGATATTGAAGAAGTTAATGACTTAGTTAATAGTACAACACAAAAAGTAGGAATTGTGATGATTAACTTTGATGACTTTGAAGCATTATTTATGAAATCAAATGTTGTATTGTTACCATTTTGTCCATATAATTTCCAAGTGTCTTCAAAAATGACAGCTGACCCTAGATTTTATGAATTATTGAAAATGTATTTACCAACTCGATTAGAAATTCAAGGTGGAATTCGTCCTGATGTTGAAGCACCAAAAAATAAGATTATTGATCTCTCTAAATGTATTTGTTTAAATGAGTTATTTATGAATGAAGCAAGATACACGTCAAGAATTATAGTTAAATTACCAACTTCGCTAAATAGAATGTTTATTAATAACTTAGGAAGTATTGACTCATTAGAAGGTATTGATGAAACCCATTTGCCAGATTCTTTAAAAGAACAATTTTCTCAAGGAAATCTTTTTATTAGCAACTAAGCATACTTTTTTTTTATTTCAATTTTTTATTACACATTAAACTTGTAAATAAATTAAATGAACTTGAAACAGGAATTTCCTGTAATTACATCTCATAGAATCCAAAACGTTTGTTTGGAGTTTCATTTGGATTTATACAAAATTAACATCGAACTTTAGAATATCACAGAGTATTTGGTCCAATGGGATTGTCATGAATCAACATGGGAAATGAAACAAGACTTAGAAAATTCAGAATACAAAGACTTACTCAATAAATATAATGCCATATTTTCAGCTTCAGACATTCCTATGAAAATTATTGGAAAGTCATTACTCAATAATACTATCTATGTCAGATGGAAAGATGGGTCTTATGAATTTACGTCTCACACTGATTTATTAAATAAGTATCCAGAGTTATTTATTTAAAGTTATTTGTTTGAATTAATTCTTTCTTATTTCTTAGACATTTTTGTTATATTAATATATTTAAGTCAGTGACAAGATTGAATCTCCAGATTAAATTACTTTTTCTTCTTTCAACGAGGATTGATATAAAAGGTGTAGTTCACTTTATTATATTCATTATGGAAACTGATCAATTGGATCAACCAACTTACTCATTAGACTCATCTTTAAGTAAATTATTACAATATTTACTTTCTCAATACTCTGAACGTCCATTTGGTTCAGTAAATGAAAGTCTCACAATGGGACAATTTAGAGGGGAATTACAAAAAGTTTGTGATATTGTTGAAGAAGAACCTTTTAAAATTTGTCCCTACATCACAAGACATAAATGGTTATTCATTTCATTGTATTTTGTTGGAATAATGGTATGTGGCATTTTAAGTCCATTAGCAACAATTATTATTTCCTTAATAGGAACAATACTTTATTGGTTAATATATGATATGCAATTTTCTTTTTTAGATTTTATTCTACCTGGTAAGCAATCTTTAAACCTTTTTGGAGTAATAAATGGTTTTTTACATGAAGAAGATATACCTAAAAAAACATTGTTATTTGTTTCTCATATTTCTGATATAAAAAAAGACTCTGGAATTATCTATCATCTTACAGGAATTTTAGTTCATTTTAGTTTGTACATCTTAACATTATTTATCTTAATTGGTTTTATCATTGGTGAAGTATATAACAATTTTATTTTAATACCAATTGCTTCTATTGTCTCTACGATTATTCTATTTTTCTCTATGTCTATGTATATTGAAGGAAAAAAAAATAAAGTGTCTGGACTTGCAACATCTTTATGTTTAATGAATTTATCACAAAAACTAAAAGAAGATAATTCCCCAGTATTAGAGAATTATTCTGTTATCTTTCTTATAACAACTTCTATTGGAGAACGTCATGAAGGAATTCGAGCATTTTTAAAGAGGCATAAAAAAGATGAACGATTTAATCCAAAAAATACGACTATAATTTGTTTAGATGAACTTGATGATTCTGAAACAATTTCCTGTTATTCAAAAGAAGGGTTTCTCTTTAAAAAATATGATCAATCACTAATTGATCTAATAAAAGATGCTAGTGAAAGTGAAGGGATTGCTGTTCAATGTGTCACAAACAGAATTCATCAACCATTTACTTTTGCTAGTGAATTTAGTGGAAAATATTCTAGGGTTGTTCCTTTAACTGCTAAATGTAGAAGTGTCAAAAGGAAATTTAGAGAAGAAAAAGAAAAAAATATTAAACAAGATGGTTCTGTTATTTGTGTTCATGATGATCAAATGAAATGTGTTAATAATTGTTCTATACTCCTCTTGAAGGTATGTAAATTATTAGATTCTTCAATCAACCCTACTATTCTTAATAAACATGACTCTTTGAATACCTTTTCAATGCATCAAGGTACAATGAATCAATTGGATGATGTTCCTATAGAATTATAATATTTATTATAATATAATTTATTATAAATTAAAATTTCTTTTAAAAATGAAAAAAAAAACAAAAATAGCAAAAAAATGACATTAGAGACTATTTTATAGGAAATGCAACAAGTTTATGACTTTCCTATTTTATTAGGACTCTTAAATGTTTACTGTACAATACCTAGTTCTCTTCAAGAATTAATTGAAGAGGCTCAATATATATTACCTAAAATTATAAATTCTATCCATGACACTCCTATCTTAAAAACAATGAATGAGGGAAATTTGTTTCAAAGGATTGAATATAATAAAATAGTTTTACAACAATGTCAATTACTTGGAGCAAAAATTACATTAACTTCAGATGATTTAACACAACCAAAAAAAGATGTTTATTCACAAATTCTTAGTACATTATGGCAAATGTCATTAATTGATATGAAATATTCTATGAGACGTATTGAAAAGGAAGAGGATATAACAAATACAGTTCGTCAATGGATGAGGTTGTTCTTACCTAATCAAGAAGTTAATGTAGAGAATACTCAAAAATTACTTCATATCATTGAAGAAGATGAAGTAGAATCAAATGATAACTCAAGTCAAAGTCCAGCATTTGATGATTTTGAGGAAGAAGATAAAGAAATAGAAGATGATTTTTCATTAAATGAAGACAGAATGAAAGCAGAAGAAGAGGTGCTTAGTAGTCGTATTCTTCTATTAGAAAAAGAACTCGGAGAAGTGGATATGACTGAAGATGAAATGAAAGTTGCTCTTCAAAAATATAATCAAGAGAATGAAACGATACGATCTGATATACTTCAAAAGTATCAAGACCTAACCTCATTAAGAGTTCTTCTTCAAAAAGCAATAACTCAAACACATCTTCAACAAAAAGAACTTCAACGATTAGTAAATCAAAAAGATACAGAGGCTAGTGATATGATGAGAAATGAACAACGAAAAAAAGAACAGTTAGAAAGAAAAAAAGCAGAGTTTGAAGAAATGAATAAACAAGTTCAAGAAGTTTCATGTTCAGTGATTGAACTTGAGTTTCAAATAGGAAAAATGAAAATGATAAAGAAAGAAGTTGAAGAAAGTTATCTTAAAGTAAAAAAACAAAATAAACAAACTGAAATGGAAGTTGCTGAAAAAGAAGAAGAAATTGAAAAGTTAATGAAAAAAATACAAATGGAAAAGAAAAAAATGAAGGAATTTCTTAAAGAAAAGAATCGAATAAGGAAGAAACGAATAGATATAGAGAATCAAAAGAAGTTAATTGAAATGGAAAAGAAAGATATTATTATGCAACGAGAATATAAAGAAAATTATGCAGATCTTAGGATAGAAAGAATTGAAAAAGAAAGTGAAAAAGAAATTAGTTTATTACATGAAAATAGTCAAGCAGAAGAAGAATATCACGAAGCTGAAATGAGACTAAAAGAAGTTAAAGAAAAAGAAAAAGATCTCAAAGAAAATGATGAGTTTTTAACTCAAAGGATAAAACGAGATAAAATAAGAAAAGAAAGGAAAGTCCAACATTTAGAGAAACAAAAACAATTAGCAAATAATCAAAAAAAAGAAAAAGTAATAGAATTAATTAAAGTCAATGGTGAACTTGATATGAAGAAAGATGAAATAAATATAAGTCAATTAGAAAAACAAAGAAGAATTGAATCAACACGTGATTCTAATAGATTTAAAACATTAGAAAAAAAGAAGCTTGATATACAAATTAAAAGTTATAAAAAAACATATAGAAAAAAACAAGAGAAAAGAATTGGGTTGTTAAAAGGAAAAATGAAGAATTTAACTGAAGAATTAGACGGATTTATTGAAGAAGAAAAATGTAATCAAGATTAATTATTTATCTTCGTCAATTATTAATGATAATTGTTTTGTTACTCCGTTAGGATTTAACGCTAATGTAAGTTGATAAGCATCACTTCCATTCATATAATATTTATTTAGAAATTGTTCTTTAACAAATCCTAATTTAGTGTACAGTGCTAAAGAACTAACGTTGTCAGCTTCAGTTTCAAGAACAATTCTATCACATTTATTTTCTATCATTGTATTAAACAATTTCATTGAAAGTAATGTAGCAATTCCTTTTCTTCTATAGTTATCTTCAACGCTTAACATAGCAAGGTATCCTTGTTGAAGATTGTTTTGAATACTTTGTTTACCAATACAACATCCAACATATTTATTTGTTGTTTTATCTTTTGCCTAAAATATTATTATTGGAACCTTCTTTAGAAAAAATTAAGTGAATTTAATAACAAACAAAGAAACATAAATGTGGCCAACTTTTTAAGAAATATCTATATGTATAAATAGAATATGGTTCAGATAATGTTCTTTTCATTAAGTCCATTATATAACCCATTTGTTCTTCTCCAGTATATGGTACAATTTCTATTGACTCACTCATATTTATTTAAGTTCAGTTTTTTTCTTTTTTTTAAGTTTTTGTTTTTATTATAAAATACTATAATTATAGTTAAATTTTATTAATATGTTTATTCTTTTTTTAAATTTCAGTCATTTTAAAAATGTTAATTTTCCTTTTAATATTTGTAATTTTTTTTATAATCAACAGAGTTAATTGTACAATTTATCTAACATAAAAAAAAATCATATAACATCATTAAAAGATAAATTACATTTTAGGTTATGGGGTTTTGAACATTCAAATAAACAATTTAATTTTTAGAATGTATTAGACATATCTTTATTTCAAACGAAATGATGTCTTGACTTAAGCGGTAACAATATTCTTCTTATAATAGTACTAACAAATTTTTTATTCAACTCTTCTTTAAGAATGTAAAAAATCGATGTTCTTTGAAAAAAAGTATGAGAAATTATTGTGGTGGAGAGGAAAATGTATTAATATATGATACTAACACAAAATGACTAAATTTCAAAAGAACAATTTACAGAAACAAAAAAAACATTTTAATAAAGTTATAAAAAAGTTTTGAGGTTATTAATATTTTTATAATATGTATTTAATCAATATTCATTTAATTCTTTTGTGTTTTGAAGTTACAAAGAAATTATTAAGAAGTTGTTATGTTTTCATTTTCATATTTTTTATTTGGTTATTATGAATTTACTGTTTTAGAGAAGTGTTTCATAGATATAAAAATATTAACATAACTACTTCATAAAACAGTTCATTGTTGTCATAATAATTTAAAGAAATACCACAAAAGAATTAATTGATTAAGTATAAATGAAAATAAAACTTCACAAAATTATAAGAAGAGAAGAAAGATATTTAGTTGTTGTTCATAATAAATAATGATAAGTATTTCCATATTAAAACAAATAACATTAATATGTACTAATGTATTTTTTATATGAATTTATGTTCGATTTTATACTTAGTATTATTGAATAAATAATTTTTGATGGATAATTAATATTGAATATAAATTATTTGATTTATTATCATTTATTCTATCTTTATAAATAATAGTTATTTTGTTATTTCGTTGTTGTGCTATTCTTATGTTTAATTGTTAAAACAAGATTATACACAAAAAATATTCATGAAATTTAACATTTAAAAGTTCACTTTTTAATTCTCATTTAAGAATTTGTTTTAATCATTCTTATTAATGTGTTTCTTCGCTTATATTCATTTTTTAATGTTTTATTTATTTAACATATTATCCATCTCATTCTTTGTATTATTTTATTTTTAATTTATCAATTATTCTACAATCATGTTAATAAATGAATGTATTATTATTGATAATAACAGTTAGTGAATTTTATCTTTTATCATTTTAACTTTCTATTGAATTGAATAAAATGGTTTTGTTCTTTATTAATGAAGCTAGAAATACAATGATGTATGTTGTTTTCATGAAGAATAAGTTAATTACTTGTCCTCCAAATTAGAACAAAGTAATGACAAATAAATAAGAATTTAATACGTATTTTTAATGATTTTTCATAGTGTGTCAAATTGGTTGTGGTTATTTTCTTATTAGGGAATGAAAATATTGAGAGAATGTTTAAATAACAGTCTTTATTTTATGAGATAAAAATCAATGAACAAATAAAAAAGATAATAGACAAAGAGTTACTACTCAAACATTTTAAACAAATCGTCTAATCGTTGAATAACATCTTTCCCATGTTTTTGGAGTTTTTCTCTAATCATTTGTTGTGTTAATGTATCTTCTAAATGTGATTTTGAGAAGAACTTATCAGCATAACATAATAATTTCTCTTCTATTGTTTTAGGTAATAATATTCTATCTGTAGGTAAAGGAAGATGTTGTTCAACAATTTGGGTTGGATCAATTCCAGATCCAGTATGTCTTTCAGCAACACGTGCATGATATTCCAATCCAAGTTCTCTTAGAATGTCTGCACCTAATATTCCATGTTTGATATATGGCTCTTTTCCATTACATCCAAATTGTGGAGAGTCAACAAGAAAAATGCCGATGTCATGAAGGTATGCAACTTCTTTGATGAACTCCATATTAATATGATACTCTGGGTGTTTTGCATTGACTTGTTCGCATTTGCCATATATGGATTTTCCATGTTCAATTAAAATATGTTTTGCTATTGGTAATTCTTTATAATATTTCTCTAGAATTTTAAATGGATCGATTGGTGCTTCCCACTCAGAGTGTATCATTTGTTCTTTTTTTGTTTATTTCATTCTTCTTAGTTTGTCTTTTCATCTTCCTAAAGATAATTCACAAATTATAATAATAATATCAAAAATCTGATGTTTTTTAAGAATAAAACAAGAAAAGAGAAAATGGTAAAAAAACAGATTTTTAGAAATGAACTAATAGTTCTATAAATGAGTAATGTAAATTCAATTTGTCTTAAAAGTCTGATAATTGGAAATTCATGTGATGCTAAACAACGAATGTTGAGGTTTCCAGGAAATTCAATGAACCTTTTAAAGTTTGGTCTTGACTTTAAATTTGTAACAGTTATTATTGATCGTGTCTTTATCAAAATGCAAGTATGGGACATTGCTGGTCAAGAAAGGCTCAGAACAAATATTGAAGCGTTTCTTCCACATACAGACATTATTTATTTTGTTTACGACATGACTGATGCATCATCATTTAGATTTATTCAAACAACACTCAACCAAATAAATCAAAGAACTCCATGTAATTCAATGAAAATTCTTGTTGGATTAGGACGTGAATTTGAAAGTCAACAAGAAGTTATTCAAGAAGAAATTATGGAACTTTCTTTAAGGTATAAAATCAAACACTATGAATTTGACTTAAATGATGACTCTCAAGTATCTGATCTTTATTTCAAATCAATTTATCAATTCATCTCTGAAAATCAATACCAAATTGAAAACCAACATTCAACAAACAAATGTGTTATTGTTTGACTTTTATTCATTTGTGTTCTTCATTACATGTTTAAGAGAATAAAAAATACATTTCATCTGATTTTATGTTATTTCCAATTTACTTAAATTGGACTTTCCTTCTTTTGTTTATTTATTAATTTTTGTTGTTTCTTATAATGAATTTGTTATTTGGCTATCATACACTTTTTGTCTTTTTTTCACAAACACTCATATAAATTCAATGTCTGTTTATTTTGTTGTATTATTTCTTTAAACACACCATTTTATACTTTCATATTTCTATCATTTTACCAATTTAATGGTTTGTATTAAATGTTTTTTTTTATTTTATGTCAGTATTGAAAATATCATTTTAAGAGTATCAGAGTTTGACGGATTGTAATATATCCAATTTGAACATATATTAAAGTTAATAAATAAAACAAAGAAATAGAATCTTATTACAAATATTCAACTTGTTATATTTCTATTATCTTTCATTTCTAACACATTTACATGAAAATTCAATTTGTTTGATATATCATTAGAAGTAAATGTATGAGTCATTTGTAGTTTATTGTATTTAATGATTAATTGTTTATTATTTTATAATTTGTTCATTTTAATTCACTTGTTAATAATAATATATTGACAATTTCTATTGTGTTAATTCTCTGTTTTGTGTTTATATTATGAGTATAATATAATCATTGTTTCGTCTTCATTTATAACATTAATATCATAATCAATATTCTTTTTCAAATAAAATGAAGTCAGATTTTATTATTTTTATTATAATGAATATGTTTGTTCATAGAAAGATACTTTTCAATGTAGAATATAACAAATATTATTGCATTGGATATTGAGTAATAACAATGTGTAATGTAAAGAAAAGCAAATAAAAAAATAAACATTCAACAACAAACAAGAGAATGAGTAACAATAACAATAAATTGAATAACAACATGAATGATAAAAGAAATACAATGAAAGTGAATTGAAAAAAAAGATGAAACGAAAAATGAATAAGAAAAATAAGAATAAATTATAATAATAAAGACAATAACAATAAGAAACATAAAATAATAATAAGAAAGAAAAAGAAAATAAGAATTAAAATGAAGAGAATAAGAAGATGAAATAAAAAAGAAAGAAAAAGATAATATAGAATAAGAAGTATATTGAAAGAAAAGAAAAATGAGAAAGTTAAATCAATGATTAAAGAAAAGAAGAAGAAAGAAATAAGAATATAAACAAAAGAATAAAGAGATATACAATTTTAAGAATAATAAATATGAAAATTAAATACCATAAAAATAAATACATAATGAATAAATAATTTAATACATTTTATTTGATTGTTATTTTATGATTTTGTTTCATTTGTTGATTATGGATAATTAGAATTTATTATTAACAATAACATAATAATTTGGAAGATATTTTGCATTTATGAATGTTTTGTGTTTTTGTTATTAAAATAAATAAGAATACAAAGAAATAATAAGAAATAAAAAATATAATGGGAAGCACAAAGAGTCTAGTAGTAGAAATCCATCTTCTAATGTGGATATCGAGGTTAGATTCCTGGATAGTGCATCTTTTATTTTATCTATTTTTAAATATTTAGAATTTGTTTTATTATTTTTCATTTTGTTTTTATGATAAATAATTTTTATATTTCTAATCAGTAATTATTTCAATTTATCTCTTTTCTTATTAATCATTTTTCATCATTGTATTCTATTTGATTTATTATGTCTTATTATTTGATTTACATAATTTTAATATTTATAAGCACAAAAATAAGCAAAGAAAAAATGCATCTAAATAATTTACAAAAATGAAAAAAGATGCAAAATATTTTGCATCCATAGAATATTCATCTTATTATATTTTGTTCATAAAAAATTAAAATAAATATGATAAATACACAATCAATAAATATTTATGTTTATATTTTATAATCATTTATATTTATTTTGTATGAAATATTAATGAAATAGATGATTTGATGAATCATATTTAATTATTTTTATTCTTTTATTATTATGTTATTTATCTATCGTATTTTTATATATTATTTTTATATATTTATTTCTCTGTTTATATTATTTATATCATTGTGTTATTCTTATTATCTATATATTATTATATTCTTCTTATTTTATTATTTTTATGTTTATATTATTTCGATTTTCTTATTGTTATTCTTTTCTATTTAGATATATTTGTTTATTTGTTTATTCATCTTTTATATTATTATCATTTATATCTATTTTCATTTTATATTTATTCTCTTTTGATTTATATTAATATTAAATTTATCTTTTATACTTTGATTTTATTATTATATCATTGATTATCATTTCTCGTTTTATTTATCATTTATTCTTATTATTCTTTTGTTTTTTTCTATATTCTATATCATATATTCATATCATTTTCATTTATATTTTATCACTTATTATATGTTATAATAACATAACACATATGATTAAATATATAATAAACATCATGATGAAGTTATACATATGAACAATAACATAAAAACGAATAAAATATTTTTTTTTCAATAAAACAATATTAATTATTTTACATCATTAAATTAGACACTTTTATTGAATATTTCTAATTTTTACATTAAAATTACACTTTTTATTTCTTCTTTTATTACATCTTTGTGATTTATTATTTTTATATTCTTTATTATACTTTCTTTTTATTCTTTTATATATTTTTATTCTTTTTATATTATTTGTTTTTCTTTGTTGTTTCTATTTATTTCTTGTATTATTATTTATCAATTTTATATTTATTCATTCTTTTTATTTCTTTTTTATTAATTCTTGAGTATTGTATATTTCTTTATTATTTCATTTGTGTG